GTATCTTTTTCTCCTATCTAGAAAGCGCGCGTGAGATCTTCCTCTGGCTTTCCAAATGGTTCACACGTAACAAAAACGTATCCCCCCCCCTTTAAATCCTAAGGCTGCTTTCGTAAGTGAACCTTTCTGGAAATAATGTAGGAGGATCTCCATTTTGCACCTAGCTCAACCTTCCTTTGTTTCAAACTTTCTTCAGGTAAAGGTGGTTTCGATCAAGGTGGGCAAAGTAGACAGAAAGTAGGCAGAAAGATTTCAATCGCAGTTGAAAAATAATTGCGATAATAAACAGCAAACCGTTTTTCAAAGCGTGCAATCCTAAATGAGGATAGGATTGCAAGCAATGTTCAATTTATTTCAAACGCTGTTTTCTTGCACTTCTTACTAAAAGACCAAGGTTAACAACCCCATTTCGCAGCCCTAAAGTTGAAGGTGAAAAAAGAGGCTTACCAAGGATAACGTCCTCGATTCAGGTGAGATTTACATCAGTTTTCTGGTAATTTAAAGATTAGAAATACCAGAAAGAGCAGCTTTTCAGTTTCTGGAGGGGGAGAAAAGTCTCAGACACCTTGGACATATTTTGACGTTTCTCCGTTTGTCTTAGTTTATTCAAAATAATAAGACAAAGCAGCTAGAGAAGAACCCTGGGAGAGGTGATAGGAAAGAAAGAAAGAAAGAAAGAAAGAAAGAAAGAAAGAAAGAAAGAAAGAAAGAAAGAAAGAAAAAGAAAGAGAGGGAGGGAGGGAGGGAGGAAGGAAGGAAGGAAGGAAGGAAGGAAGGAAGGAAGGAAGGAAGGAAAGAAGGAAGGAAGGAAGGAGTTTCTGCCTGAAAGACTATCTTCTCCTGGAACTAGGAAGCTGGAAGTAGCTTCGCAGTTGCTCCATTGAGAGGCTCAAGGCAGGTTTTGGCGAGAAGGGGACTTAATGCACCGCAGTTTTGTCCAGAGTCTACGTAACTGGAGGAGCGGGAAAGTGAAGGATCGGGCCTCGCCTAGCCCGCGATTTCTGCGGCCTTTCGTGCAGTTGTCTCATGAATCTCTTCTGAATCTGCTGCCACCTCAGAGACTGCACAGTTTGATGCAATATGCGTGGTTGCACCAACCCTCTCGCGGACTACCGGTAGATCCCACAACTAGCTCGGCTTGTTAACCGTTCCAGCCTTTCCTTTCCAGAAACACCGTCACGCTTTGGTTTCGGAAGGGTGAACGCGGTCAGGGCGGCGTATCCAGCCGCCGATTGGTGAAATCTCTAATCCAAAAAAAATTAACGTTGTGGTGCCTCTAGTCCAGAGAATTGCATTTCTTGGCGGCCCAGCGAAAAATCCCAAATTGGTATTTTTTAGCTTTCGGGACTACGAGGTAGCCGACTGCCGCCAGCTCCGTTCTCGGAGAATCATCTGTTTCTCCCGCTGATGGGACATTTCGTAGAGCTACAAGTGAAACAACCGAGAGGCTGCAACTCCGAAAACTGCCCCAAAGTTAGGGACAGAGGCAGATTCCGCTTAGCGACTGCTGCGCTTCCTATACGGCGACCATACCTTCCCAAATTTGACCTTGTATAACAGCTAAGTCATCCTGCCAATGCCGGATCAGCTGCTGGGCCCCGAGCTAGTCGCGCCTTTTTACAGATTGCTGGTGCTGAGTCTTTTTCTGCTTGTCCTAAATTTTTGGCTTTGCGGGGCTTCCTCAATAAGAGTCCATCTCGACAGGCTGTTTAGTTTGCGTGTGTGTGTGTGAGAGAGAGAGAGAGGGAGAGATAAAGACAGACAGACAGACAGAGATGGACGAACTACCATTGTATTCCTTTCGTTTAAAAACAAATTAAAACCTCGTACAAAGAAGCGTTGCTTCCAGATTCCTAAACTGGCACCTACCTAAGAGAGCGACAAAAAGAGTTTCATTCCAAAGCAGCAGAAACCCCCTTTTAAATATTTTTTTCCGTAGCAACCTAATTTCTCCGTAAATCTTTTTCAATAGGTCTCTCAACTGTAACACATTTTCAGCCAGATCCCAGACGTGTTTACTGAAAAGGAAATCGCCCTGTTGTTTGCGGCGCTTGAGTTGTGCTTGGGATGGCTCCCCGAAGCAAAGTCGGCAGGAAATACTTCTCTCCAAAACTGCTCTCTTGCAGATGGGATAATCTCCCTCCGAAAATGCGCTAAGGCTCTGGGCTTCGGGAGCAGATCGCCAGGCCCTAAATCCGTTTTCCCACCAAATCATTTACAAGAACAAAAAATAATTGACAAGCAGGCCTGGCCGGGCTTTCATGGAGAGGTTGATAAGTGTTGCAGGATCTCCATCAGGAGCTCAGTGACTTTCCGAGCTACTCCGATATGGGAGAACTTCTATTCCAGATCGCAAACAACAGTGTAAAAAATGCGCAGTAGGTGCCCGGGACGTTTGCAGCCTAAACCTAACGAGTTTGCATGACATGGTTTGGTCGCCAGGCCGTGCTTTAGCTTTTCCTCTGGAGCCCGCATCGCACCTTCCATGCCCCTTGGCTCCCCTGTTTATTTTTAACCTCCTTAGATTAGCAGAAGAGTCTTCTGCTGTCCATTTGCTCAGTGAAATTACCGACATCATTCTTGACAAAGTGGAAGAGCTGCCAAACCTCACTTTTATATTGCACAGAGTCCCAAGAAGGTGCTATAACCGGCGCGGCATAAGAATCGTTGTGAACATCAATGATGAGCAGTTACATCCATTTCCTATCGAATGGAATTCACTTACCCCATCGGGATGGGGAACAGACCCTTCCTCGTCATTTTCCCTACTGAGCCCCCCCACATCTAATTATAAGTCATTATCTGTACATTTTGTTTAAAATCTCAGCACCGTTAATTTCAAGGGGAAATCAAATCTATTAAACTCTGTGGATCCATTTTAAGTAATGGCTACCGCAAAGTAAAGTACAGGAAGTCTTAGATACCGTCCAAGATCCACCTACAAGTCAACCTCGCACAAGTTGGGTAGCCTCTTTGGGGACCTAGGAGACTCAAATAAATTGACAATGGCAATTCTGAGGTACAACCCGGCTTCACCTTTTATTTTCAGAGAACTGGTACAGGAATCTTGTGGGTTTTTATTTTTGTAGCTTGCCCCCACCTCAGAGAAGGGTACGGAAAGGAAGAGAAGGTAGAAGGAGAGAAGGAAGGAAGGAGGGAGGGAAGGAAGGAAGGAAGGAAGGAAAGGAGAAAGAAACATAAAGAAAGGAAAGAAAGGAAAGAGAGAGAGGAAGGAAGGAAGGAAGGAAGGAAGGAAGAAAGAAAGAAAGAAAGAAAGAAAGAAAGAAAGAAAGAAAGAAAGAAAGAAAAAAAAAAGAAAGAAAGTAAGTAAGTCTTGGCAGTGGAAAAAGGGGCCAGCTGGTCGAGCTGGGAGGGGGGAGTTAGGAAACGGAGCCTGGGAAGAATTTTCCTTACCCAGCACTCACCGGACCAGGCTGTAAAGCCTCCCATTCCTTCCCTTCCCTCTGCTCCTGAATTCTGCAACTGCAACAATTCCCTGGAGAGAACAGCAAGCCAACAAGAGGGAAATTAAGAAACTTCGCACGAATTTCATCCATGGTAGTGACGTCACTGAATAGCCACACTAACTCATTCTAATAAGTTAACTTGAAAATGACTAAGGTGACTTTCAGAACTGTCCACGTAGTTGGAGTACTTTCCTTCCATCTCTCTCAGACTCACCCTTCCTCAGCCATCTGTGGGAAACGAAATAAGAAAAGGAAAGGAAAGGAAAGGAAAATTTGGAGCTTTTTATTCATATTGCATACACAACAGAATAAATTCTGATCATCACAGCTAATTGTGGAACATAAGATTACAGCAGCTATGATGACTTACTTTTTTTCTACAGATAGATTTTATAAATAATATGATTATTATTAGGAATAATAAAAATACTGTATTCCTGTTCCATAATCCATCAATTACAACCAGAGTAGAAAACTCATGTCCTTTGCCAATCCCTTTTAGTCTTATTCACCTAACCGCAGGCACACTACTTCTGAACCAGGAGATTCAATTGATCAGGGTGAAAAGCCACCTCTGCGATGACCTTCTGATCTTTAAACTAAAAAAAACCGTCCAGCGAGGCAATCCACAACCTTGAACAACCGTGCCTATATAGATAGTGCTGCCAGCTACCGTAACCGTCCTTGGGATGAGGCTCATGAGGTGCCATGATTCTCTGTAGGGCGTTGCTTTAAACGACGAGGAAGGCGAGCGGTGTCACAGGTGATGGCCGCTGTCCTCCTTCCTCGGTTGAATCTTCCTTTCCTCTTCCCGGAATAAGCCTTCCTGGCTCTCCATAGGGCCGGGTTGCCCATCCTCCGCCCGCTCCTGCAGCCGTCCGATCACCCTCCAAGGCAGCTCCCGCTTACCCAGCCGGGGAGGGCAACAGGGCTGCCGGCGCCCCTGCCCGTCCTTTTCTCCCGCGGGGCCCTTCCAGTCCTCGGGGAAAAGCCAAGCCAAGCGACTCCGAGCCAGTTGCCCAGGGACGGGCGGGAGGTCTCCGGACTCGACCCTCGGGGCGGGCAGGGAGTGGCGGCGCGGCGGGGAGGCTGGGCCAGATGGAGCCAACGGGCCTTCTTTGTTTCAGGCGGCTCTGGGCGCTCCCCGTGCACCGTGCCCGGGCGGCGGTCTTGGTGGTGCCAAGCTCCCCACGAGGCTCCTCGCCCCTTCGGACTCAAGGCGGCCGCCGGGTCACCTCTGACCCGAAGCCTTGGCGGCCCGGCTCTTCCCCGCTGCCGGTTCACCTTTGGGCAGGTTTCCTCCCCGCCTTCCAATGGGGGCCCGGCCCGGCCCCTCCTCGCCGTGACGTGCCCCGCTCGGCCGAAGAGGCGGCCCCGAGTCCAGAGCGGGCTGCTGGTCCTCGCCGAGGCGGGGACTGGCAGAGGCGGCGCCGCGTTCGCATGGACGCCACTTCGCCTGGCTTCGCTCCCGGGCGCGGCCCTTCTGCCCCAGCCGGGCTGGCCGTCTCCTTCTCTCCCGCCGCCCTGCCCAGGATGCTCCCCAGCCCCGCCACTTCCACCCCCTTCTCCGTCAAGGACATCCTGAAACTGGAGCAGCAGCAGCAGCAGCAGCAGCAGCAACGTCTCGGGGGGCCCCTCGAGCCGCCTTTCCCCGCCGCCGCCGCCTCCTGCCTGCTGAGCTGCCGCTTCTCCGACGGCGAGGAGGAGGAAGAGAGCGAGGAGCAGCCGCCCTTCTTCACCCCCATGGCCTCCGCAAAGAGCCAAGCGGACGGGGGCTTCTCCCCGGGCAGCTACGTGCAGGCGGTGCTGCGGAGCACCTGCGAGCCCAAAGGCCTGGCAGAGGAGGCAGAGCCGGCGCGGGACTCGGGAACCGGTGAGTAGAGGAGCGCTGGGGGCCCCGACCCTGGCAGGCTTTGGGGCCAGGAGCAGGACCCGCCTAAACCCGGCGCAGGGCTTCGGCCAAGTCCCTTCAGGGGACCTTCTCAAGAGTGGCCCAGAGCCGGAATCCTCCGTGTTGCCCTGCCCTCCTCTGGAGCCTCGGAAATATTTCTTGGTCACCCGGAGCAGACCGGGATGCTGAGCGCCGGACGCATCTTCCCAGCACGCTTTGCCCCAGGTGCTTCTTCTCGCTCTGCATGTTCGCTTCAGCGCCTTTTTAGGGGTCCCTCGGGTGGTCTCGGCTTTAGCACCCCCGTCTTGTTGGGATGGTGGGGACGTGATGGAGGCTGCAGGCGAGTAGAGTAAATTGGAGAGTAAATTGCCTTGCCTGTCGCTAGGAAAGACTGAGTGCTTTGAAGCACTCCAGGTTATGATCTCCCTTGTCGAAATACTGAGACCACTTGCATCAGGCTGTGTCCCTAAAAGGCTCATGTGGGGAGGGGGGATGATTTTTAATTATGAAATAAGATTGGTTTATTTGAACCGTCACTGGTTAACTTTGTGCAGGGCATGCAACCTTGTCGCCTTCATCTGGAGAGTCAGCCCTATTATAGTCGCTTGCTAGAAAACAGGGCTGTAAGCTAACTAGAAAAGCAATTTCTACTCTCCCCCAAGCCCACCCAGCTCTTCCCAAAGAGTGGGGAGATAAATGATAGAGCCAAGGCCAAGCCTTCCTTAGCACAGACATAGGAGGTCAGATTTAGAGGCGGCTTTAAACTCTCCTAGGCCCTCAGGGTAGAGCACCCAAAGAGGGGAGAATCTGGCGCCAGACTTTGCTCAGGAGTGCGGAAAACAATTTATTCCTGATCTGTTTAGAACAGGCCTGCCAGGCCTAGACATGGTGATGGGGAAGAGAAGAGTGCTGTTGTATTTGCAGGAGGGGGGTATACTGAAATTGTCCTTCTCTTATCTTGTGGGCAAAGGTCCTTCTTCCAGCTCCCAGTTCTTTCAGACAACCAGTCGCTTTTAATGGGGAAGAGACAGTAATTGATCTAGGCTCAGTTTGACTCCAAACTCTGGGCAAAGAAAATGGCAGGCAGCTCCAGCTCTCCAAGGGCTGCTCTCACATTTCCAAGCCAGGAGGCTAAAGTTGTGTGTAGTTGGAGACCTAACATTGCTAACCTGGTTAGGGTCTTTATTCAAAAGTGGTTGGGCCTGTTGCACTTGTTTCATCAAGTCAAAATGCTACTCTGCTCCATTTTTATTTTTGCCTGATTTTTTTTTTTTAAAAAAAGTCCTCTTGCCTCTTGTGGAATCTTCAGTCTGTAATCATTGGGACTTGAGTGTAAATCCTGTAAAATAGAGATTAACCCAGAAAATAGTTTGTTTCAAATTGGTATATTGTGTGAATTCAATCACAGTGATTTGTAAGTGGGTGGAAAACAGGAGTCAGATATGAATACTTCATGGTATACTAAACTTTGTGCAGCAAATCATTATAGGAATCCTAAGGATTTACTGTGCTGTAGCCTGACTTTTCTTTGGTTGCATCAAGAGAGACTTGGGGACAAATCCATGCCCCACTCAGGAGAAGATAAAGGGGGCTTCCAAAGAGTGGGGGGGTTCCCTCCATGCTCATTCATTCCAGAGAACAGCTGATGGCCCTATTTCCATTATCAGTATCGTGTTGGCAGAGATTGCAGACACTTGTGCCCAAAACCTGGGAAGGGCATCAAGTGGTGCAGATGTGTAGAAGTCTGAAAAGGGTCTCCTACTAGGTGTATCTCCAGGCGTTGGCTGCACCGAAATCAATGGCTTAGGGGCAACAATCGCGCTCAGAGGCGGCCGCCTCACCCTTAGGCGTCTTGCTCCATTACTCCTCTCTACTTTCGCTCTTGTTGCAGGCAAAGAGCCCGCGGAGGAGGCCTCGGAGCGTCCCAAGGCGCGCAGCCGGAGGAAGCCGCGGGTGCTCTTCTCGCAGGCGCAGGTATTCGAGCTGGAGAGACGCTTCCAGCAGCAGCGCTACCTTTCTGCTCCCGAGCGGGAGCTCTTGGCCAGCAGCCTCAAGCTCACCTCCACTCAGGTCAAGATCTGGTTCCAGAACCGGCGCTACAAGTGCAAGCGGCAGCGGCAGGACAAGGCCCTGGAACTCGGCGGCCCAGCGGCAGGGGCGGCCCAGCAGCCTCCAGCGCCGCCGCCTCCACCGCCGCCGCCACGCAGAGTGGCCGTTCCGGTACTGGTGAGGGACGGCAAGCCATGCCTGGGGGGCTCGCAGGCCTACAGCGCGCCCTACAACGCTCCCGCCGCCTCCTACGCGTACAACGGCTTCCCTAATTACGCCTACAGCGGTTCCAGCGGCGCAGCCTACGGCGCCGGCTACAGCTGCAGCTACCCCGCGGCCAACAGCCTGGGCCCCTCGGTGCAGCCATCGCCGGGGCCCTATGTAAACGTGGGCGGCTTCCCCGGCGGAGCTCAGCCCTTGCACCAGGGGGCCGCCGGCTCCTCCTGCACTCAGGGCATCCGAGCCTGGTAGGCGGCGCTGCTCCTGGAACTCCGCGGCCCGGAGGGTCGCTGGTCCTCCGCGCTGGGACCCTTTGGGGAAAAAGGGAGCGACGCCCGAAGAAGCGGACTCCGGCGACGTGGGAGGGGGGCCTTTGCATGTGGCTGGGCTGGAGCACTTCGTCCGCTCTCGGAGCTAACCTGGATCGCCGCGATGGACAAGAACAGATTCTCTATTGGGACTCCCCTGGGGAGAGCCCCCACTTGGCCCGAAGCTTCTGGACGGGGCAGGGGCAGGGGCAACCCGGGAGTCTCCAGGCTCCGCGCCTGGACTGCAGTGGGGAAACAGAGGCCAAAGCAGCTTCGCTTATACAAACCTCCCTCGACTCCCCTCCCGCTATCCGTGTATTAAATGTATCGATGTAGCCACACTGCGAGGTGTTTAAGGATCCAATAATAAATCAGGTGCAATATCGAGATCTGCCCTTGCTATAGCGCGGAAGGATGGAGGAGGCGCAAATGCGGAGCCGGTCTGGCCCGCTTCCATCCCAGGCAGAAAGAATAAGTCGGTGCCAGCCGTGTCCCTTGCGCAGGTTTAGCCACCTTCCCCCGGTGACTACCCTGCAATTCGGAAGCCCTTGTGCCACGCCCATGGCACCTCACTGCCCTGATCGGGGACTGACATGAGGAAGCCGGTATAGGCAGATGCTTCAGGAACGCGGGTCCCCCCCCCAAATGTATATGACCCCTACAATACTGTGAGTCTCTCTTGGTGGGAATTATATTCCCACAACACTTTAACGGTGCGCCCTGATGGCGAAAGCAACCAGTGTCTCTCCCTCCACTCCATCCTTTCCGCTTTGCTAGGGTAGATGTCCTGCTTCGAGCCTAATAAGTGAGAGGCAGGTTTAGTCCACGAGGCTCCGCTTAGCACTTTCCTGGGGGTGAATTCACCTGTATGACATCCCCCCATTCCCTTTTTCCATGTTAGCTAATCTTAAACCAGAGTAACCTTGCATTACACCGAGAAAAGTGACTGAAGGGGAGGAACCCGCATTAAAGCGGCGCCCTAGAAGCCCGTCCGGCTTTGGCGAGCAGTGACCGAGTCCTACCCGAAGCTGTTGAGCCAACGCCCGCAGCAACTACTTCGCTTAACCAAATGGGGATGTGCTTTGTCGCTGCTGCTGGTGAGGCGGATGCCAACTCTCCAGAGTCAAAAGTTTCTCCTTCCAGCCCCTTCGGCAGCGGTGCACTGTCATTCCCTTGTCCCGCGCAAGAAGAGGGTGCCAAGACGTTGGCGAACTGCTCAGAGAAGTCCATTGTGGCTACAGGGCCGGGAAAGGACCAGCCGGGAAAGGGCTGAGAAGCGGCATTTACAAAATTGGGAGTTGGGACAAAGGCACCAGATTGACGGCCTGCGCTGTCCCCACGCTGGGCTCGGACGGGCAAACTGTCCCCCCTTTTAAGGCAATTTTGTCCCGTCCCTCCTTTTAAGCCTGTAGCCCGAAAGCGAGATAGAGTGAAGGGACACAGTTCACTGCCCAATTTCGCCTCGGTTAAGATTTGAAACGGAAAAGATACTAAAGGGCAAAGAGAAGAGATATGGAGTCTATGGAAGCAAACACATATTACCTACCTATTCTGCCTCTCTCTCCAATCCTCTGATTGACCACGTAAATTTTCAGAAGGTTGTGCAGGTACTATAACAATAGAGACCCTCTAAGGTACATTCTAAGGTTGAATCTCAGCTCTACAAATAACCAGTAAGGAGTTCTCACCTTTCCCACATGGCCTTAAGGTCTCCGTGTAGCATTGCTCCAATCCTGCAATTGGGAGACACAAATCAAATGAGCACAGGCAAGAATGGACCAGCCGGTTCAGAAGGAGATGGGTAGGCTTCTGCAACCATTAGCTTGGATCTAATGACCAAGTTTTCTTTCAGCTCTACCCAAAAGTCTTGAATGCCTATCTGTAATTCAAGTGAATCTGTGAATTCTGTGAATCTGTAATTCAACTGAGCCACTTTGGTGTAGTGGTTAAGGCATCAAGCTAGAAATTTGGAGACTTTGCTCCTGGTTTAGACATGAAGACAGCTGGTTGATCTTAGGCCAGCCACTTTCCCTAAATTCTAAGAAGGAGGCAATGGCAAACCACTTCTGAAAAGATTTATCAAGAAAACTGCAGGGACTTGTCCAGGCAGTCTCCAAGAATCGGACATGATAGAACAGAAAAGAAAAATGAATATAGGCGCTGTTACCGCTTTTTAAATTGGGAGCTAAATTACATTTGAATGAATTATGGAGATTGCAAAGTACATTGTACCATGTCCATTGCAGGTGATAATCTTTTTTGGTAATGGTGCTGGGGTAACCAACTTCTTAAGTATACCTATTCTTAAATTTTGCTCCTACTCTTCGTATAAAAACCCTCTGTAGCACAATAAATACAAACAACTACAATGATTAAGCAATGCAATTTAAAAGATATAGGGAGAGTTGTCTATCACCTGACCTGCCATCTATTGATTTTGCCTTCAGGTTCATGGGCTTGATCTCCACCTGCAATGGAATGAGGCTGCACACCACACTAGAGTGTAGTAATTTAGGGGCATATTACAGTTGAATTACTCCTCTATAATACCCCCTATCCCAGGAGAATAGAAATAGTTTCAGGATGGGACCGTGCAGCAGTTACCATGTTGTCTTTCCATTTGCATGGGGTAATTTCTTTTAACTAGTCAACCTGGTGATTTCCAAATGTGTTTCACTGCAGCTCTGAATCAGTACCTGTAATTCCAGTAGTCAGAGTTGAAGACACAGCTGGAGAAGAGCAGACACTAAGAAAAAAAGTGTGATGCTTCAAACCTAGATTAACTTTTGAGTGGAGATGTTACACACATGAAATCTGGCAATAGTAGCTGTTCCAGGTCCCTTAAATCTGAAAGATTACATAGTTGCAACTTCTCAGTATGGATGGATGGATGGATGGATGGATGGATGGATGGATGGATGAATGAATAAATAATATTTTTTCTCTGAAAAAATAAAGTCCAAGCAGAAGAAAGAAGAAAGTACTGGTCTACATGAACAAGGAGACTATGGAAGAATTAAATAATTAATATTTAATAGGCTCATGTGCTTGCCACTAGTGGGAAAATTGCATTACAAATTAAGTTGCACCCCACTACCAAATAGATCTGGAATGGATCCACAAATATTCAACATTTATATTAAAATGTTAATGCAGCCTAGTTCGTTCCAGATGCATTGAATCTGTAATCTCTTTGGAGAAGATGGTCTGAAGGGAACCCTTAGGATGCCAGTAACTGTAGGAGTTACAGTATAAATCCTTGAGATCTTTGGATATTCAGAGAAAAGAGAAAGATCTTCACTAATGAGCAGCTCATTCTGTGATTAGATGGCACACAAGCAATCAACTGTGGAACACCTATATGGCACCAGATTTCAATGAATTAGTTTGTGTAGAAATATTATTAATTCTCTCATTGTCTCATTGATCTGTTATTCATTTATTGATTTGTCATAGTTAGATCACAGGATCAGATCAAAAGCCCATCTGGTCCACTTTCCTCTTCTTTTCCCAATTCTCATAATCACAGTATTCTGCCACTCAAAGCACATCATAGCATCCTGCCATTCAGGTTCTGAAAGAGTTGCTTTTCAGAGTACACCAACTCCTTTTGCAATAATTGATTCAAGGTATACCCAGCTTCTGCTGGAGGAGATTATAAAGCAAATAACTGGGGTAGGATATTAGACATTGGAAGACCATGAGTCCTAATCTTGTTTTAGATACAGTCAGCTGGCTGACATGGGCCAGTAACTTTCTCTCAGCCCTAGGAAGAAGGCAATGTCAAACCAATTCTGAAGTCTTGCAAAGAATAATTTAGGAACCTGTCCAGGCAATCACAAAAGTCAAAACTAACTCAAAGATGCACATACATACAATTGGTAACAGGATCCATGTTCTTCAGAGTGGTCTCTGTGGAGATTCAAGATCAAGTTCCGATCAAAATTCCGATCAAAACTATAAAGTCATGAAACCCCCAGCCTCTCTCTCTTTTGGTCACCTCTTGGAGCTGAACAAGACAAGAGAAGCAGTAAGACTACTGCTGGCAGTTTTGCCTCCCCATTTCCGCTCTCTCTTTACATCTGACTTGACATTTTACAATTGGTCTTTAAAATATCTGGAAAAGGAGGGGAGGGAAGAGAAGGAAGATCATTGACACAGCAAATCCATTCTGTAAAAGATAGGGCCAAGGAGTAGCAAAGTTGTAGCTAAAATTCGAAGGTCAGGGAAACACTAACCCACTGGACTACAAGAGAAGACACACCCTCCAGGAAAGGAGAAAAATGCCATAGTTGGATTGCTTGTTTCGTGAGCAGAAAGAAAAGCAACAGAGGCTTTAATCACAGATCAGGGATGATTTAGAGCAGAGGTCTTCAAACTTGGCAGCTTTAAGACTTGTGGACTTCAACTCCTAGAATTCTCCAGCCAGCTGGAGATAACCCACCTGTGTGGAAAGGCTCACTGAATTTGAAACTGGGGGCATGATTTATCCATAAAGAGTACAGGTAGTCCTCGATTTACAACAGTTCATTTAGTGACTGTTCAAAGTTACAATGGCACCAAAAAAAAGTAACCTATGACCATTTTCCACACTTACAACCATTGCAGCATCCCCTTGGTCACATGATCAAAATTCTGATGGTTGGCAACTGGTTCATATTTATGACGGTTGCTGTGTCCTGAGGTCATATGATCAGCTTTTGCAACCTTCTGACAAGTAAAGTCAATGGGGAAGCCAGATTCACTTTGCAACGATGTTACTAACTTAAATGCAACGATTCACTTAACAACTGTGTCAAGAAAAATCATAAAATGGGACAAACTCACTTAACAAATGTTTCATTTAGCAACATAAATTTTGGGCTCAATTGTGGTCGTAACTCGAGGGCTACCTGTACTAGCAGGATAGCCTTGCCCCTGAAACGTCCAATCCTTATTTACAGT